ACAGTTTGCAAGAGTAGAGGACAGGACTTCTATGTATACCTTTTTATACTACTTGGAAAAAAGCAAATCTTTTTCCAGAAATTATAAATGCCACTGAATGAAGAAGACAGATTTACGTGGCATATCTGTGTATTTATTGAATTAATTACAAAATTATACTTCCATCCCTGACACTTGGGCATAAACGTAGAGGTCAGGATACCTGTCAAGGGGCCCACAGGATCAGTCTAATTCCTTTTAAGGACCATCCAACCCACTAGAAGAAGGATGATAGAGAAGTAAATACAAAACAGTATTTCTTGATACTATGGCACTGGTAGTTTTGGTGGTTTATATGGTAGTGTGTTGGAACAAATGGGAATAAAACCATTTGTGATCTCTTCTTAATTTCTTCCTAATGAGCCATGGGGAAATGTTCAATCCTTATCGCCTAACAGTGAGACTCAGTTAAACAGTTAGAGACAGAATGACCCGAAGCACATGGGAGATTCAAGAGTCCACACTGTGGTAGATCATCATTTAGCTCACTTGATAAGGAGGTGAAGGCTTTCGTATCTACATCCATTTCTTTCATATCTATAGACACATGGCTTTGATTTAGAGCTTGAATGAATCTGCCACTTATGATTTATATGATCTTGAGTAAGGTACACGTATTTTTGACCAACTTATTCTTGTCATCAAAATAGAAAACTACTATATTTCAAAATTGAAATAAAGAGCTGGTGGTTTATCTCAGTGGCTCAAGTGCCTGCCTGGTAAGCGTGAGGTCATGATTTCCATCCCTGGTACAAACAAAATAAAACAACAAAGGAATAGATAGTACTTAAGATTAATATAAAATAGGTGTTCAATGAAAGTTGGGAGATTTTTAATTACTGAAAAATAAAATGCAAAAGGAGAAGTAAAAAATGAAAAAATGGATAAATGAGAAGAGAAAAAATAAATTTAAAAAGCAGACAATGAGAAGACAACCATTAAAAACCCCAGATGAGTATGTAAAGTGAATAGTGTTTTAGCAAGTAGATCAAAGATTAACTTCAATGCAACTTACTTTTTGAGTGGATTCTCATGTTCTTGTTGGTGTAAGTGTTTGGCTTCTGCACACTACACTGCTTCAATGTGTTTCCATTCAGGAAATACATACACACCTGTTATGGATACAGTGAGCTCTGACAGGCATTCTGGTGTAGACTATGCTGGATGCTGAAACAGAAAACTGAGACAAATGTTACTAAGAGCAACTCCAACAACCTATGATGACAATCAGAGGATAATACTTGTTTTAATATTGTTATAATATTGGTCATAGGAATAGATTTCTGAAGGAGGTATTTCTCAACACCAACAAACTACACAATCTTATTAAGGTTATCAACAGGTAGAAACCACCATCCAATGGGCCCCTGCCCACTTTCTAAATATGATGGTTTAGTTTGTTTCTAAGTTTAGCTGTTGCCAACTGAGCTGCTATAAACATGGGTGTACATACATCACTATGGTATGTTGTTCTTAATTCTTCTGGAATGATAGCCAAAAAAGGGAATCATTGAGTCAAATGGAATATCTCGTTCTGGTTTTTTGAGAACTCTTCAAACTTATTTCCATGCACATCAGTCGATGAATGGATAAAGTAGTTTTTTTTTAAATAGAGTACTACTCAACCATAAAGAGGGGTAAACCAGAGACATTCATGGTTAAATGGTTGCACCTTGAGAACATACTCTTAAATGAAATAACTTAGACACATGTGTGTGTTTCTCTGGTATGAGAAACTGAAAGTGTAAATAAGAACCAAAATATACAATGGGCAATGTGAAATAGGAAGAAACTGCTTAAAAGGAAAAGGGGGTGACATATGGGGAGGAAAGAAGAGAAAACAAAAGAAAATGAAAAAGTGTAAGATGAAAACAAACCTTTTAAAATACGGAATAGAAGGGTCCAGGGGAGAAAAGAGAAATTGGAGAAAACAAAAAGAGGTATTAAAATGTACCGTGTACAAGTACAAGTTTCCTATAATAACATGATCAATATATCTATCTATATATAACTAATGATCTTAACAAAAATAAATAAATGAATATGGTGGTTATAAAATATTGGCTTAAGTTAATTTGCTGACAATTTTCAGTTTTCAAATACAAGCAAGGTACTATAGACTCTGGCAACTACAAAATTAAACAAACAACTAAAAATACTATTAAAATACCATTAAATTTACTTCAAGAAATGGAAATCAATAATTCATTAGGATCTAAAAAGGTATTTGCCCAATGGCTTCAAAGTTTGTTTCAAATTATAACTCAATCTTATTTTAGTAAAACTCTGCATGGTTTCTCATAAAACCATGTAAGAAAAATAACACAACAAAACACTCCATGAATGCTTTGAAAAATACATAAGCAATTCCTAGATTCTTTAAAAATCATTCTCTTTATGGAAATAATGCATGATATAGTGAACAGGCATTGATTTAGAACAGATATAATTTCAAATCTTAAGTATTCTATTCAATATGTTTGAGGCTTTAAATACTCTACTTAAATATCATCTGTCCAGTGAGAAGAAAAGTGCTGGTGGTGGTATTCAAAGTGACAGTGACTGCATGAAAAATACTTGATACAATGTAGATGCTCAAGGAGTAATAGCTGATCAAGACCTTGGGTCTAAACGCTAGTGCAGACTCTTCAATCTTTTCACTGTGCAACACCCACCAGGGCTCCATCGAGCGCATGGCTCACATGCCCCTTCAGTGCTGGTTTTCCCAGCTGTGCCCCATTTTCCACTCTCTGTCAAACAAAATTCATTTTATTTGTTTATCTCTAAGAGACAATGGAGGTAGAGTGATTTCCAATCTTCGTGCTCCAGAATAATTTGGTTCAAAAGAGAAACCCTGCCATGTCATATCTGAGACCAACTCTCCCTACTGGACCATAACAGAAAGTGGTGGAATCAGAATACAAAATGATTTTTGCAAAATAGAAAAGGCTTATCTCTGTAAGAAATGAGTTTTGTGGTTTTGTCAGACTCCTGGCATGCAGTTGCATTGATGAGCACCGAATCCACTGAATCATAGCGACTACAAATAGAACATCAATTTTTCATTATCCTAACTGGATACATAGCTTGCCTTTCATCACACTCTGGAGACAATTTTTCCAAAATAAGATACCAACAAACTTTATCAGAAAATGAAAATTGCTATTTGATGTGTAATCCAAACTTTCATGTAATTAGGTGGGCTTTTTTTTTTTTTGTGTGTGTGTGTGTCAGTTTATAAATGTGCTACTTTTTAACTTATTCTTTTTTTATTTTATTAAAGAAGCTTTGAGAAAAAACAATTTAAAACAATTTAAACTTTTGGAACTCTTGTATGAGTTTATTTGCCATCTCTTATGCTAAAACTGTTTCACAGAGGGTTTTCATGCTTTGTCCCTTGCCTACACCAGTGATTTCCCAGTATGACATCCTCCTGTGTGTTTATGATATTGCTCTTCTTTGGTTCTTGTTATAAAATTGGAATTATTCCTCCTTGATCTTTGTCTCTTTGTCTTTGTGGTGCACTCATGTGGCTTGCATATCTATAGTCTGCCCATATTTCTCTTCTTTCTCTCTCCTTCTCCATCTTTTGTTCTTCCTAATTCTTGCCCCTTGTCATTATCCCTGTCTCTTAATCTTTCTCCCTTTCTCATTCTTTCTGAATTTCCCCCTTTATCTATCATTTGTAGCAGTCACTCTTTTTGTGTTTCTTATTAGTGTTATCTAGATAAAAACAAGATCTACAAGTAGGCAACTTCCTCTTTACCTATACAACCACATATCCAACCAACTTCTCTTTACTTTCACTTGAGTCATTCAGCAGGAATCTGACAAAATTTTTCCTTTTTCCCCCAGGCCTTTCATCTGCAAAGGTGCATCTTATCATAGCTCTCTGAAAAATCCCAACCGTTTCTTTAAGTCCAACATGGGACGAGGTTGGATGGGAGATAATTTTTTTACCTGACTGTATAAACAATTATTGTCTAGAAAGGCTGAAGAAGTCCAGCTCTGTTAGAAGGCACGGTGTAGAAGATTGGTAACTGGTAAGTCAACTAAAATATCAGCTGAACTGAATTAGCACGGTGCTGAGTGTAGATGGTCCACCGGAGGATCATTGCCAGCAATAAAAAAGGGACCTGGAGAGGAAGAGTAGTGGTGTGGGTTCTCTTAAATGTTGTTGTTTGGAGCGGTTGGTTCTCCTAGAGGAGCTTGTCATTTTGGCTCTCCTAATATGAACTCAGCTGTTACCATCTGAGAAGCTTGGGGCCTTGTTGCTGAGAATGGCTGTGGTTCACTTTGTGGCGGGGGTGGGGTGGGGTGGGGCTTTGGTCCTTACTTTGAGCATTGATTCCTGGCTCTGGAGGGACTCATGTATGCTGTTTAATCTGCAGGAGAAGCTTGTCATGCTGGATTTGATATGAACTTGGCTGTTCTCATTATAGGAAGTACTTGGGACCTCATTGTCACTGAGGATGACTGTGTATTTTTCAGGGGATCCTTGGTCCTTATTTTGAGCATCAATTCTTGGCTGTAGTATAGAACCTTTAACCTGCTGGCACAGATCCTTCACCCTGCTAGCATACACTTTCTAACTTCCACCACTGAGTTTTGGACTCTCCCAGCACAGATACATGAAATTGACTTGCATGAATCGTTGTTGTGAGATTTAGGTCTTCAACTGAACTCATGCAGGTTATTACCATAGGATCCAGGCCGTTGGCTGGATTTTCTATGTCTTTAGTGTTGTGGACAAATTTCCCACACCTTCTTTGCATTTGCCTCCTTGGGTGATCATTATAAACAACACTGTCAATTATGTGTCCTGTATGTAATTTTTCTCCTTACAACCCCTGACTTCAGTACATAGTGTGAATAGTTGTTACCTCTAATACCATGTTCATGAAGATGTCATCCTACTATCTTTAGATCCATTTGCTTCTCATTCTTTGTTTATTCCACAGAGAAAAGAGAAAAATCCAAGTGAGAAAAAAGTGGTTTCACCAGCCAAGACGAGCTTGTGCAGAAATCCAATAGGTAAGCACCAGATCATGGATTTCTACAATCCAGACCTGTAAGAAAGTAAACACCTGGGGGTTTAAAACATCCCGACCAGGACAATTTTTTTTTAAATAGGATCACTTCAACTAGACTAATGCTTGCAAGATACTATTCAGTAAACAAGGAGGCCCACTGAACTTAAGTATAGGCATCATTCTTAAGCCCAATATTTACTTATTAAATATTTATTTAGCATTACTGTTTCCTTATTCTAACCAGTGTATTTCTAGTAGAAAATCTGGAAAAGCATGAGAGGAATAATTTTAGTATACGTGTTGCCCAAGTGAGCACATGTGTAAGAAGAATAAAATAGAAAAGCTATTAGCATATCAAAGCCACAGGAAAAGAAATCACACAGTTTTGAAACTTTACCAACTTAACCTTTATTGATCTGTGGGGAGTAGGTTGTGCAACTGATGGCCTTGACAACAGTTCCAAGCACCAAGAGAGGGAACATTTTGCATTTGGGTAGGAACATTTATCTAGTTCTCTGCCTGTTTCCAAGAGGGACCTCTTTTAGAATGGAACGTGATCAGTGCCTTTTACTCACTCCTCTCTGGAAACACAGGCTGTTTTCTTCCATCTGCCTTAGGCTTTATGGAAGTGTCACCAAGTGAACACCTCAAGTTTTTCTTTCCTCTTGGAAGACAAGTTTACTTAACTCAAGGTAAAATAGCATTTCAATTTGGCCATAAACCTCGATCCAAACTTTTGATAATTTATTTAAAGAAATAAATTTTAGTCTCAATGTCTAACCTTATTGTTGCTTCAGTTGGTTCTGAATTCCGATAGAAATTTTTTAAAATGTTGCTTTACAATTGGGCTATCTTAAAGTGACCAGAAAAAGTTTTTGTCACACTTTGGCAAATTGCAAAAGCACAACTGGATTTGTAAAAAAAATCTGGATTATTGTCACTTATATTTGGTTTCCTTCCATTTTCTCAAGTTGACCTCAGCCTGCTTAGAAAGTGTAAACGCAGTAACAATAAACCTAGGAACTGGGATTGGGATTTGCACACGGCTAGAAGTGATATATTACATTTTAAGAAGACAGGAAGGAGAGAAAAAGAACATTTTATCGAAGAAGACCTGAGAAATGAAAATTTTACTTGCCGTTTACTGGACTATGAAGTCAGAAGAAAATGTGATCTTTAACTCAGCAGGAAAAGACTGACATTCACCTAGACAGGGCTTGGCACCCAGGGCAAAATATAACCTGGGTATCCATAGGTTCACTAGATAATGCAAAGTGACTTGCTTTTTTATATGACCATTTCTGGGTTGATTGTAAGTTGTAATTATGACTTAAAAGTCATAAAATATATGTAACACAAAGTACTTTTATTTTAATATGTAATAAAGTACTTTTATCAAGCCTTGTGGATATTTTGTTTCTGATAATGATTTATAAGGGAAGCAAATTTTTATGCTTTTAGTTAATTACCTTTAGAGCACAAGGCATTCCTAAAAGAACACCAAATCATAAAATATAGAAGTGTTTTATTTTTATCTAGGGAAAAAGCAATAAAGGAGAAAAATATAAATGAGGGTAAAAAGTGGGAAGTGAATTAAAAATGTATTTTCCGCGGACCTTGGAGGAGGCCGCTCTCTCTTGGAGACTGAGTCTTGTTTCTGCTCCGCCCCTCTTCTTAGCGGCCTGATGGCTTGTAAGGTCTGGTGTAAGAGTATAGGTCATGGCGCTGGCCTCCCGACTATGGTGCTTTGTTTAAAGCTTGGGACATGGGGCTCCTCCGGGGCCTTGATTCCCTGCCAGGACTCCGAGCAGCCACGGGCAGTGCGGGCTTCGCCATTCCGCTGCTCAGAGGTGATAGGAAACCCAAGAATTTCCAGAAGAGGCCTTTTATTCCCAGCATTGTCTTACTTGTGTTTTGAAATTTACCAAGTTATTTCTCAGGCTGCTGTAGTTCATGCCACGACTCAAATTGAAGACATCCTCGAGCAAGCAGACTACCTGTATGAAAGTGGAGAAACAGAAAAACTTTATCAATTGCTAACTCAGTACAAGGAAAGTGAAGAATGCAGAGTTACTGTGGCGTTTGGCACGGGCATCACATGATAGAGCTCAGCTTAGCAGGACTTCAGAAGAGGAGAAGCAGCTTTTTATTTACGAAGACCTTGAGTATGCGAAAAGAGCACTCGAAAAGGATGAGTCAAGTTTTGCTGCCCATAAGTGGTATGCAATCTGCATTAGTGATGTTGGAGATTATGAAGGCATCAAGGTTAAAATTGCAAATGTCTACATTATCAAGGAACATTTTGAGAAAGCAATTGAACTGAACCCTAAAGATGCTACCTCAATTCACCTTATGGGTATTTGGTGCTATACATTTGCTGAAATGCCTTGGTATCAAAGAAGAATTGCTAAAATGCTGTTTGAAACTCCTCCTAGTTCCACCTATGAGGAGGCCTTGGGCTACTCTCACAGAGCAGAACAAGTGGATCCAAACTTCTACAGCAAAAACTTGCTTCATTTAGGAAAGATGTATCTGAAGCTAAACAACAAAAAGCTTGCTGCTTTATGGCTAATGAAAGCCAAGAACTATCCAGCACACACTGAACAAGATAAGCATCAGACAGAAGCTGCTCAGTTACTTACAGGTTTGTGAGGAGAACTGACAACCTGCAGAAAAGAAAATAAATGAATAACCAGTAAACTGCCTCTTCATTGAATTACATATAATAATTAACCACAGTGTTCTGAGCCTTTTTCTCAGTTCTTTTAATGTTGTAACCATTAAAGTGACTAAATGTTCAAAATTCTCACTTTCTTCACAAAGAAGGTGACAAGAAAAGTAACTGCCATATCATCCTAAGGGTGGTATATGCAAAACTCCCATGGCACAGGCAGAAGGATTATTTTGCATCTGAAACACCAATACAAAATGGAATGAAATTTCTAAGTACTGATCAGATCCAGAAGAGAGGGTATCAAGAAACGAATGATTTATAGAACTAGAAACACAGAGCTTATGAGTGTGGATTTTCAGGCTAGATTTGATACAGAGTTGTGGTCTTACAGAGAAGGCACACGGAAAGGCGCTTAGGATATTGAGGGATTCTTGGTATGAAGCACAGTAGGTTGATGTGTCTTGGAGCCAGCCTGCAGGAGGAGAGAACCCAAGTCAGGAGATGGAGGTGGAGTGGTTTCTTTTTAAATCTAGACTCACAAGATCACTGAACTTGTCACCAAACAGTCCAAACTGTATTTCTTTTTCTTTTCTTTTTTTTTTTTTTTTTGTGTTTTTCCTTTTTATCTGTACCGGGGATCGAACTCACGACTGCCTGCTTGCAAGGCAGGCGCTTATGCCGCTGAGCTAAATCCCCAGCCCCAAACTGTATTTCATATTGAGATGAAAAAATAGAATTTCAGAGTGAAATGGAAATTAAGATAATTTAAAATAAGTTCAATGTTACTTTCTGGTAGCGTTGTGGTTGGGGTACAACCACTGTAAAGTCTTAAGCCTTGTAAAAAGGAGCCTCTTGAAATGCCACTTATATAAATCTGAGAATGTATGTGTTGGTAAATTTTCCTTCATTTCTTTTATTTTGTGGTGCTTGGGATTGAATCCAAGGGCCTTGTGCCTGGCAGCCAAGTTCTCTACCACTGTGCTCTATCCTCAGCCATGTGGGTGCATTGTTCCACAAAGGATTTAAAAACTGTCATGTTACAATAGTATATGCTATTTCTGTCATGTAAATCTTCAGACATAAAAAATGAAAACGTTCTGTATACCTTTTTCTCAGATTCAACTATGGTTAATCTTTTGTTGTAATTTGTGTATCTGTATTTATTTTTATTTGAATTTAATTGCAGATGTATTTCAGTATGTATCCTCTATCCTGAGACTGTCTTCCAAAAAACAAATACATTACCACAACTATTAAAAAATATATTTTCCTTTTGGGAAAATACAAGAATATTTAAAAGAGAAGAAAAAATATAGATTTCTTTTTGAGATTTGAGATTAGAAAGGACCTACATAGCATAAGAAAATGCTCAAAAAGAAACACAAAACGCAGCATATTAAATAATAATTAAATAATACACATTTTGGAATGTGTTAGGAGGTAGGTGAACTAAAGGCTAAACCAAAATGAGAAAAAGTGAAGAAAACAGCTTTTAACTATTAAGGAAACTATTGATGAATAGATACTGCTAAAATGAATCAGGTTATTGTCAGACTTCTCCATTTCTTATATCTCTAAATGTTAGACAACAAAATTTGGGGGAAAATACAAAGTAGCTAAAACCCTCCACATTGTCATTCACATTTGAAAATGGCAGAAAACAATTTTAAGTAACAAACAAATATTATCATGCAGTGATTGAAAACTATGGTTAAAAGTGTCATAAAAGTCAGTGTTTTGCTTTAATTGTTAAGGAGGCAAATCAAAACTAGAAATAATAAAATAGAGAGTTTGCAGTTCTAAAGGATTTAGAGATCTATGCTTATCTCAAATGTACCCAAGTTCATTAATAATTGAGGTTATATGTGTTCTCTTTTGATTTTTACCTTTGAGAAAAAGCTTGACCCTTTCTGTACATTCATCCTTTGGCAATGTCAGCAAATGCTTTCCTCAATAAGCACATTTTACACTTGATGTGTTCAAGTAATTTCAGCCAATTATTGGTACTGTTTATTTCCATCATTTGACTATGGCCAAATGTGAGGGACATTTGGATGGAGAAATATTGTTAAACAAGCCATATTTTATTTCTGCCTTTCTTCTTCATTAAAGAGGGTAGTATTGAGCTACTTATAGTAATTTTCATAATTGAGAACATGTAGAAATAATTCCCTATGGTTATAAAGATCATTTCAATTATTTTGTTTAATCTGAGGGGTAAACACCATACAAGGGCTCCACTCTTATACTTTGTGTTTAGGGTGCCTATATTCCAGACTTTGAGACTGTGCCTGGAACAAAATATAATAGCTACAAGCAGAACTCTATAATCTAATAGGTGATATGGATGGACACATTGGCAATGTTTATAGAATATTCATCAGGAAGAACTATATGCGTTTATAGAAAACCTGTTTCCTATGATCACTCCTGTGCTATTTATTGTCACTGCTGTAGTTAAAATGCTAGAATATGGAGATTGGTTTCAACAATGGAAAGTAATCCAATAAAAAATTATAAAAACTTTAAAGTGTCCATGGTACTCATCTCTGGGAAATAAGATTCTGAGCCATTTCTCCTTCTTTTCCTTAATCTTTTGTATGTATTGTTCAAAATTCAAATTGGGAATCAGAAAATCAATGAAATACGCATGTTTATTTATCTATATCATGATACCAAGATTTGAAAAGTCAAATAATAGAAAGTTCAACCTTGTTTCCCTTGACCTTTTTGAATCTGAAGTCTTTTTCAAGTTTTAAAGATGATTACAATGGGCAGAATTATTTTATTACATGTTAAAGAAAAACATATGAGAGGGATAGTATTAATATTCAATTAGTATGTTTTTATATATTTGAGAATGTATTTGTATGGTTAGCTTTATAGTTTTAATATTTCTACACAAGAATTTTACATCTTTGATTTTAACTATTAAAATATGAGTTAGAGTTTTTTAAATTAAATTTGTGTGGAAATGTCATTACCTAGTGATTTTTCATTGCTGCCAAAAGTAGTCCCATGAGTAGATTGAGCCTCAGTTTTTGTCTGGATCAGAATATTTCTTTATAATGCAGTCTCAGACCTGAGAACACAAGGATGACAAGAAAGTAATAACCCATGACCATTCTACATGTTTATTCTGTTTTGGGTACAGAGGAAAGACCTTCTCCAGATTGTCTGTATCACTCTGGAGAGAACTTCTCTAACCTCAATCCTTTACCCATAAAGCAGGGCTATTGAAACCTCACATGTGGATTAAGGATGAAGTGAGAGGATGCGCTTACTTTATAGGATTTAATACAGCACTGGATACAGAATGGATAAAAGAGATTGTCCCTCCCGGCCCACAGTGATAACTGTGTCTTCTGCAATCTCAGAATTCTATCCCAAATCTCTGCAATTCACTTTTCATCCAGCAATCAAGAATACCCCTCTAACTCTGCTTTATGTAGCTTTGCCTTTCTTTTTGTATTTCTTATTCCAGTGACATTGCCTGTGCCTCATCTATATTAGAAAGAGCTTATCTTATTTTTCCACTCTATAAATAACAGACTGCTGATAAGAATAATAATGAAAAGTCAGATTGAAGCATAGTAGAATCAGGGAGAAAATAAAGGTAACACTGAGTGAACTTTAACTGGGAAGAAAAAAGACATAGTGGATAAGTGATTCTATACCCACGGGTGATAAATGCCATCAAGCAATAAGTATGTGAGTCAAAAAAGGTCAGTTTGAATATGAAGTATTGAAAAGAAATCAAGAACTACTGAAAGAACAAATGGGATACAAAAATCCAGGTCCTGAATTAAGAGTATAGAAAAATGATGAAGGATGTGAGTTATAGATGAAACTCGGAGAGTGCTGGGGTTGGGAACAATTGAGTTCACTATGAAAGAATTTCAGACTCAAAAAGATGACGAGGTATTTGAAAGAGCCAATGAGACCAGCAAAAAGTGGCTATGGTAAGATATTGATGTTGAAGTCCTTAGAAAACCAGATATTATTTTAATCACCTAGACATGAATGAAAATTTAAAAAGTAAGCATTAAAAGTCAATATTTAAAACACATCTAAGCTTATTTGAAGATAGTGGCTGTGTATAACTGTCTGATGGGCCAGTTACCATTTTTTAAAAAAATAAAGAAGATTTTTACCATAAGTCTAGTTTTGAAAGATGTCTAGCCTTTATATTACCTGTGACCCTTCAAGTGATCATTATAAGTCTTTCTGGTTGACTTTTTTTTTTTCCTGAGGATGAATTCCTAAAACAAATTTTCAGTGAGTCCTCTATTTCTGATGGTGGCTCCCTTAGGGATATTTTGAAGCTGAACTTAAAAGATGCATCCTTTTACTCAACACTTCTATGGCTTATTACTGGCCACATACTAGATCGTAAGGTCCTGATTCTGTCACCAAGATGTTCACCGGTTTTAGACCCAAGTGACCATTCCAAATGGATTCTCCATACTCCACATAAGAATTTTTAGGGTGTGCATCTACAGACTTTTCCACTGTGTGTAGAAAAATGACACTGCCGTTCGTCATGATGAATCGTTAATGAAAATGGTAAGCCAACGGTTTCACATACAACACACTGTAGAGAAGAGACAGGTAACACATTGGGATTCACTCTATAAGTAAATCTTTAAATGTCACGACAATGATCTTTGTCATAAGTTCACTTGTGCTGGTTATACTTCATTGTCAACTCTATTGACTTGAGCACTGCCTGGAAGCTTAATAAAGCACAATTTTGGGTATGTCTAGGTGGTTCTTGAAGGTATGATTTTGCAACTCAATTAGGTCCTAGCCTCTCCCTCTTTGGCGCTACTTCCTTCTGCTCAGCAGTGTTCCATTATGTCCTTCTACTGTGATGAACCTATCTTGGAACCAATTAATAATGGACTGAATTCTCTGAAACTGTCACCAAATAACTTCTCTTCATTTCAATTGTGTCACATATTTTGTTCAGCAACAG